AAATTATTTGCATTGTTTGTATGGTTATTGTTCCTATTTCTAAAGAACATACCACTCCTGCTACCTTGTTGGGTGCCTTGTTCTATTTCTAGAGCAAGTTCAACAGCGATATCAAAAGACTTGGGTACGGTTTGCTTGAACTGTTCATTCAGTCCATTTTTAAACACAGCAATGCTTTTTTGTTCGTTTGTTGCATTCGTACCCAATTGCCCTATTTGCAGAGTATTTAGTTCAGACACCAGTTGTAATATTTTGTTTTTGAAATTCGTGATGCTGGAATTTACTTGTCCGATGTTGGCTAATTGATTCTGGACGTGTGGTATTGTTGCTGTTTTTATATATATATATATTTTTTTTTAATAAATCTACTGCCTACTGGATTGTAATAACGTAAATATAGAGAAGCGAAGGCACGGCGTGGAAACTAGTCCTTTCCACCCGCCCAGGCAGTGCGGCTTTGGAACTCGTGCTTTCAGACCGCCTGCCCAGCACGATATCCAGCGATCCTGCTGCACGGAATCTAGTCCATTCCGACAGCCGCAACAGCTTTAATAAATATGTATATATGTATGAAAAAATAAAAAATTTGTAAGCAATGTCGCAGAAATTTTAAATTTAATAGTAGTTTGTAAGATTTGAAAACTTATTGTTAGATTCGAAAAATATATTCAATAAATAAATACATATACAAAAAATAAATAAATAAATCTTTGAGTTCTTTGAATGTTTGGGGGGTTGTATTGCAGTCACGATTGTTTTCACCGTTTGGCTTAATTTTACGTAAACTACAAAATCAATTAGTGGACTTTTGCCATCTTCAGATAAGTCATTGTATATGATTTCGGTTACTTTGAAAAAGGCTTCCAAGTCCCTATAGTTTCCGCAAAAGCTCGGAATGACTTTTGAGGCAAGTTGCAAATTAAAATCGGGCATTGTTTTTATGCTTCGAGTTGACTCTGAGCTTAAAATTTCTGTTGGGATTTATATTTTTGTAGTAATTGAATGGGGAATTAGTATATCAAAATCGTATTTTGATAAAATTTTAAGCAATTTGCCTCTGAGTTGCTAGAATATATCTAAGCCAATCCATCTGAAGTTTACTAAAGTTGTAAATAAGATAATTAGGTGCTTTCTTACAGTTTCTTCTTTTATTTTGGTATTATTATTTAAACACTTGTATGATTTGTGGAATTCTTCTTTAAATGATGTGAATTTTTTTTCTAACTTGATCAATGGTTCATAGTTTAAATTTGAGCTCATGATTTGCCAAAATTGGAATGACCCTATCTTCGTGTTGACAGTAAGCGGTCTTTAAAATTTGTTAATGTAAAAATATTTATTATATTTTTTTTTTGTTTTTAATCTTGGTGTATACTTGTATGCATAAATTTATGTAATTATGTTTTTCAAAAATTTTATTTATTATTAAGAAATACACAAATAATTTTAATAATAAACTGAACCCTCAATATTATATTTTATATTACATAACGTAGTCTCGCAAAATATTACTAACACGAATGCAATAAATTGTAAGTAATGTATTTATATACTGGTTTAAACCTAATTTAGAATTGTACCCAAAATGCATGTGTTGTATTCTGAGGCTGTTGTACCTGTCCTTGGCCGCGTTTATATGCGTTGTTTCTAATACCGTTAACATGGCCACAAGTACTACAAAAGTGCCATGACGCCGACTGCATAGAATTCAAAGTCTTTGTTGTCATTTATTTTGGGTTTCTGCACCTTTTCTGGTTTGTATCTTACTACTGTTTTGACTGGTTGCGCATCCTTACCGACTTCGTAGCCTGTGATGGCTATCATGATGGCGCTAAACATTGACTTCCAAAAAAATCTTATATTTATAAAACCTATTGCCATATCTTTGGCAGGATCTTAATCAAACTGGCCGGGTGGTCCTGTTTGCTCATATGTTCAAAGTATATTTTGGCAGGATCGCCATGTGTTGGCGATCTTAATAAACTGGCAGGATCGCCATGTGTTGGTCCTAATAGTAATATTGTCAATATTAACCTTCTTCTTTGTTAGGCAGAGAAGGTTCTGCCGTTCGATAGGCGGCCATTAGGCTGCCGAAAACTTTATCTAGGCAGCTTTGCAGTTGCCGAATTCGGAGAAATGATTAAGTTAAAGCATGCCATTCATTTTCTGTTTTATTCACTAAATCTTGACTATTTATACCTAATTTGTCACCGAAAGTAATTTTCATAACTCCGCCTCTCTCTTTTCGTTTTCATAATCATTGCATTGCCGAATGTGGAAGCGACCACTGATGAGGCAGCTGGCAGCACAGCTGGCAGAGCTGAGCACGTTGCCGAACTATTCTACTTGTGAGTTATCGAGAAGCAACCAATCAAACTGTGCAGCGGTTAGCGGGGGCAGCGAGCATAATTGAAATACTCTGCTTGCAAGCGGCAGCGCTAAATATTAAAAACACTTGCCTGGTCAGCATTGCCCTCAAGTGCATATCTAGGTCGCTGTGCTCATATTGCCTTGGTTGTGCATTAGTCGGTTGCCACTGTTATTGCATTTGGTATGCGTGATCACTGCACTAGTCTTAAAATTTCTTCCAATACCGTCGCAAGTAGATTACCCATGTGAACTTGCAACAAAGTTCAATTCTGCATTTCCTTGAAGGGATTTTCGTAATTTTAGACCTTAGTAAAGTTAAAATGATTTATTCATATTGTTTTTTTTACACACCTTTCCTCATTCAAAAATATACAATTTCATAAAATTTGTATGTCTATTTATCACATTGCTCGAGCGTTAGACGATCTAGAGCCCATACGCCTTCGTAGCCCATTACGCCCATTTGGGTATTTGAAGTTGACATTACAGACAATATTTTTATGTAAAACAAAAATCAAATGCTACAATCAAAAAAAAACATCAAGAAGAAAAATGTTTACTTAATTTTTTTATACGTTTCAAATTAATGTTAAAAATTTTAAATTAAAGCCCATAATAAGACGGAAGAAATACATTTTTTTCATTAAGTTTCGTTAAAAGGTTCCCAAGATACAGCACTTTAAAGAAAGGTATGTATGACGTTTTCGTAAAATTTGAGTCCCGTGTAAATACGCAACCCTACGTCATATCGGCGAAATATACCTTTAATCTCTTCAACTTTCATCCAAATCCTTAGAGGTCGCACACAAAGGTGGCCGCGTTGACATGAAATTTCTCTAATCACAAAATACACGCAAGAGAATGATACAAAGCTAAAAGGACAGTCAGCGGCACGTATTTGATAACTTTTGACGATACGGTTCAGATAAATGCAACGATCTACAGGCGCCGTCGCTTCCCCGCTTCTAAATGTCACTGGCTACCAAACTGAACTGAGTCTCCCCTACCTTCATAAAATGGACATCGATAATCTACGTTATATTGGGGAAATGGAAACAAAGTTAATTGCAAATCTGGCCCTGTCAGCTTTTGCAGCTACTGTTGTTTCAATTCTCTGCTACATCAGCGTGCAACTATTCAAACGCATGAAAGCACGACGCCAAACCGATGTCATTCAAGTGCTCGTTGAAAGTTTGAGGAGAACCGAGGACGGGTCACATTTAAGCCAGGCAGGAATTAACACGAGCCTTGTCATAAGTGCGCAAACAGCTTAGGTTGTGTAAGCAATCGAAGTAATTGCGAAAACAATTAATTCTTTGGCATTCCAGCGCCACACATTGTATTCCATACTTCCGCTTAGAATGAAATATGTGTAGTGCAATACTTTGCACAAGCAGCTTCGTAAGCATGTTTCTATCGATTAATGAACGGGTCGATCGACAGCGATATGGAATAAACAGAAATGGTTCGTATTGTATAAACAGAAATGCTGTCAACGTTTCGCGGCACAATTGCGGCTCAGGCAGCTTTGGTTAGGATAAGTAAGTGGAATTGTGTTAAGTTTAGTCGATAAGTCGCATTCAAGGTAGCCGCAGCAAAAGAGCGGACTAAATAAATTATAAGAAAATATCATACTGCATATTTGTAAATAAACCGCTATTGTCTATCCGTCCGTCTGTGTCTTAACGAAACTTGGTACGTGTACTTCTTTTGAGCGTAGGAATAACGGTACAGAAGATGAATAAAATCGGACACTAACCACGCCCACCTCCCATATAACGGTAGTTTTCAGATATACGAAAATGCGATATTTTAGTAACTACTGAAGCTTACACGCTTAAAATTGATATTTACAATTATCTTTAGGCGGAAAATAAAAATATTGGAAATTTTTTGGGAAATGGGCGTAACCCCGCCCACTTATGTTTCGATGTGTATATCTCGGTAACCGCTTCACCAATTTCACCTAAATTTGGCACAGTGGCTGGTCTTCGTAAAACCTATCAAATGGCTGAAAATTTTCAAAATCAGACAATAACCACGCCCACATCCCATATAACGGTAATTAAAAGAAATACGAAATATTCGATAAATCCTCATCTTCATCTTCATCTCCCTTTATCTTTGTCTTTTTATTTATCTTTAACTTTGTCCTGCTCTTCATCTTTATCATTGGCTTGATCCTTCAATATAGGTTGTGAGTGTCTGTGGTTTTGTCGTTGCCCTTGTCTTTGTTTCTGCCCTTGTATTTGTATTTGCAAATTAAGTTTTATTTTCTGAGCAACAAATAAAACTCAAGAAATAACGATTGTTTTCCGAGCAAAAAAAAACTTAAAACGTAACGAACATACTAGTAGTTTTCGGAAAGTTGAAAAACCCACATTTAGCACGTGCGTATTTAATATTCTGCTTGGCCGGAACTCGGGCTTTTTACTTGTTTTTTGGTTGTATAGTACATACAGTGTAAATTTTAAAAATGTAATTGTTCGTAAATACGAAAACTACAGTGTGAAGAACGATAAACGATGACATTCAAATAATTTAATTAGTTGTTTTTATTGTTTTTCCCCTTTTATCAATATAAGAATTTATAAATCTTAAATGGAATATACAATGTTTTGTCTACTCACAGGGCCATTCTTCTATCACCACGGAACGTGTGAGGCAGTAAGTTAGATGAAATTTTAACAATCGGTTGAGTGAAAATGCTCCGTATATCGAATTTAAAACTGGCCATTTTTATTTTAGCTGTTTGGGCTCTTATGTCAAAAGAGTTGGAAGATTGAATCTGCAAATAAATTATTTAAAATTAGATATTTTGCATGCGTGTTGACGTTTTATAAGTAAATATTAGAGAGCTGCACAAGCACTGTGTAAATAGCTTGCAAGCCATCAGCTCGCATTTTAAGCACTGTATCTCTCCTTCACTCGTATTACAAATCACCTGCTACACTGACGAAAGGTTTTATCATACGAACAAATGCAAAAAACAACAGAACAAAACTGAATCTACCTGCTGCAGCGATGCTCAAATTTTTCAAATGGAAATAGAATTAGTACATATGTATGTGACCGCGCACTTTCTATGCTGAGGTGTTTTACAAGAACAAACGTGCAGAAGTGCTTATGGCCTGATTACCTAAATGAAGTGTGATATGTTTTCTTTTTCTTGTTTTTGGCTTAGCATCTGCGATTTTGCCTGGTGTTATATATGTATGTATGTATTTATGTACCTATTTACATAAAAACTACAGTTTCAAAATATGCGCTTTTATTAATTACGTGTATAAAAGTATAATAAAAAACAATCCACTTTTTACATAATACCAAGTGATTTGTAAGCAAAAAACAAAACCGAATTCAATTCTCATTTAAAAATTTAAGATTACCGTTAATTTCTTCATGATGCAATAGTCGGATCTAAACAAAATTTTTATGGGACCATCTCTGATGCACTACCTTTCTTTTATAAAGAATTAAAGAACTCGGTTAACGTGGTCCAAAGTTATGCGGTAACTTACATAGAAAACAAAAAAATATTCCGACGTATTGATAACCTCCTCCTTTTTTTTAAGTCGGTTAAAAAAGCACATACTCGTTTACATATGTAAATATGTATGTACACCGGTGTACAGCAGCAAGTTACTTGTAAACTTAGGCCCTCCGCACACGACTGGTCTCTGCGTGTATGATGAAATTACAAAATTCGTGCAATTAATCGAAAATCGCGTGTGCCTATATAATAATAATTTACAGGAATATTCAAAAATAGAGTCAACAGAAGGAGCTTGGAGCGAAATAGCTCAACAAATGACTTGGGCACGTATGTATGTATCTGTACATGAAAAAGTGCCGCTCGGTTATTTGCACAATGATTTTGGATTATTGTGTTCAAAGGTGTGACCCAAATCAAAAAGTTTTAACATACGCGTATAGCCAAAGAATCAAACTTTAATTTAAAATAATGATTTCAAACTTCGGTAAAGTAATTTATTTATTAATTTCGGTTTAAAATGTGTATACACCGCCGACCAGCTCTTGGAAATGTGGATGGTGTAACCCCAGGTATAATTTTCTCTGTCAACTTTCTTGATAACCCGTACTTCGACGATAGATAGTCGCATTGTGTGTGGACCTGTTAGCGTATCGTCATCGTCGCAGCATGAAAAATTAATGTCGCGCCGATGACGAGACGAGCCGTGTGCGGAGTGCCTTACTTGTATTCACTGGGCTTGGTTCGACACAAGGCACATTTAACAGGTAGTATCAGTAGAGCAAAAACAACATTTGGGTGTATTTTGTTGTTGCTTCTGGTATCGAAAGTGTCAACAACTGTTCTGAATTTTTTCTTCTAAATCAAAGGGTGCCATGTGAAATACAAAAATAATAAAAAAATGAAATTGGAAAAAATAAAAATTGTTGCAACTTTCTTTCCTAGTAAATTTGTTTGCTTCTCGAAGCATTGATCCATCCTTTACAAGGGCCAGTAATCAGTTGGGCGAACGTTCCAAAAGCTGCTATTCAATCGCTTGTTTTGTATGGAAAAAGGTATCACATGCAAATGGATTTTAAAAATTCAGAATTTTTGTGAGAAAAAATTAAAAATATTTGACATTTTCGAGACCAAATAATTTGAAAATAAATCAAATCAGCTGCTCTACTGATACTACCTGTTCAATGTACCTTGGTTCGACACAAGCAGTTAAATGCTTGCTTGCTGCACAATTGTTGAGTTTCAACTCATACACCTACTTGATTTACTTCAAACATATCCAATTGTATGTCCAACGGGATATGGATAAGTATTTAGCTAGTAAATTTTAAATAGCTTGTAGATTTCTATGCAGCTTGTTTGCTTGTTTTGTTGTGAGTAGCAGCGCAGTCTTATTGCTTTGTAGAGTGCAACACGAATCAGCTTATACGTGTGATGGCAGTGACGGTTTCACGACGTATTTATTTGTGTTGAAGCTATGAGTTGAATTGGCTTGTTTTAAAAAAGTTTGTTCCAGCCAACCGGATATATTTTCCTTTTTATTTGAAAGACTTAGGGCCGGTTACTCAATGTCTGGTTAACACTAATCTCCGTTTAAACATCATTATCGACGTGTTCGGCTCCATGCATATAACATGGAGTCGGTAACGTCGATAACGATGTTTTACCGGAGATTAGTGTTAACCAGACATTGAGTAACCGGCCCTTATAGTAAAAATTTTAAGTTAATTGGTTAGCGCTTGGTAGAAACGAAAATTGTTTAAAGTCGTCAAAACTTTATCAAAAAAAAAACACAGCAGTTTTATCTAAATTTCGAATTTTATTGTAAACACAGCAGCAGCCAGCTGTGTTGGAGATACTTCGCTTCAGTACATTTTTGCGAACTGACTCTTCGGGCCGACGAAACAGCAATCATGCGCACGCACAAAGTGTATTATTGATTAATAAGTCAGTGTTAGAAAGAGATCAAAAATTGTAATCAAACATATGACTTATTAATACTTATACATACATAGGTGTGCTTAAAGCAAGTAATTTAAAATAAAAAGCAATGCTATCATTCTAAACATATATGTAATAGTTACTTCTATATTGGCAGTAAGCTAACTTCTCAATGTGTAAGCATTCCGAAATCAAAGCGAGACAGTCTAGTACCGTTTTTTTGTCAATGTATTGTGTACTTGAGTGCCGTTTTGTATATGTGTTGTGTACATGTTTATTTATAAACGTGTGTGTTCCTTTTCTTTCGTACGTGTTTATTGATATATCTGTACTGCAGTTTTTCGGACGGTACTAGCTCTTACTGCCAATCATATATGTAATACTCCTATATTGGCAGTAAGAGCTAGTACCGTCCGAAAACACTACAGTACAGATATATCAATAAACACGTACGAAAGAAAAGGAACACATACGTTTATAAATAAACATGTACACAACACATATAAAAAACGGCCCTCAAGTAAAGTATAAAAACATATATTATCGACTTAATTGGCCGGGCTTCTCACCAGATTCCAGGAATAGTGCAAAACTAGCAAGGGATGCAGCTAAAATATTTTGGCAACAAGCACGAATATGAATTCGCGAGGACCACAAATGTGTAGCCGAATTAATGAAATTTTACGGCATCTGGAGAAATATTCGCAAAACCGTCTCAGATAAAAGGTCGGAAGCTAAAAATCGATTTTTCATAAACTTCATCGAAAGTCTCAGGCACATGTCTGAGTATTAAAACTTTTCAGGAGGTAAAAAACACATTATTTTCTAAAGAAGTATAATATTTGAAAAATAATAATTGTAGTTGCATTTCGGGTTCAATTATCAATTGAAAGTTGAAGAAATATTTATTGTTCTATACATAGTATAAAGTAAAGTCGAGATTTTCTGTACGCGGTAATCGCGAAAACTACTGAACGGATTTTGACGAGATTTTCGTTAGGAGAGCGACCTTTCTATTCTAATAAGCGTAGGCCTCAGTTCTGCACCGTCACTTTCAAATGAAAATACGTAGCCTCTGGATGTGTAATAATGTATCATTTTTCTGAGTAGGGTTGCCACTGTTTAAAAACTGTAAGATCTTCACCGTTCGTTGGATAAAAAATTGAGATACCAAATGAAAGTGCATGGCCTTCGCATGTACAAAACATTTCAGTTTTTTGAGTAGGGTTGCCACCAATTTAAAATTACTATCTTCTATACATAGTATAAAGGCGCCTTTCCCTATATTCTAACCACGCTACTGAACAGATTTAGACAAGATTTTTTATGTATATAATAAACGAATTACATGATGATATATGATTGCTTTCTCCAAATACGTAAATGTACATTCATATGCATACATTCAACGCGTGGCGAAGCCTCGTGCATCCGTGGCCGGCTAGTAACATTATAAATATATGTATACATAGATATTTAAAATTTATGAGATGTGGCCTTTCCGAAATTTACGGTATTGATTTAACATAATTTTAAGAAAAAAATCAGATACATTTGTCGAAACTTTTATTTTAGGTTCCTAAAACTAAACATAGTACCTAAATTAAGGATAATTGGCAGATTTTTCTAAAAATCTTTTTCTGTAGGCTGTCTTTGATTTGTAGTTGGCCATTGTAGTATTTCGTCATAAACTTCTGTAAACTCTGCTGGAATGTATTGTTTGACTTGTGCAATATCTGCAATTTACTAAGTAACACCAACGATTTTTATGGGTTCCCCATTTAATTTTCAGGGGTTTTGGCGAACCTATAAAATATAGTTACTATGAAAAAATGGTTAAATAAACAATTGGGTTTTATTATTGGGAGTCTTTTGGAGAGAAACAGAGTTTTCCGATCGAAAAATATTGATTTTCAAGACTTCTATACCATTTCTACAAAACGTTCATTTCAAACTACAGGTTGTAGCAATCGTACAAAAACAACATTTACCGGTGGTATGAACTCGTTGTGTCAAAAATAGTTTGTTTATGTATTCATATTCGCATGCCTACGTATAACCTGCATACCATGATTTCAGAGTATTCTGAATAATTTCGGAATTTTTGTATGATTTTTCTTTAAGAAATTGTACAGAAATTTCTTTCCTACTTCTTGGCAACCGCTTCATACGTTTTTCTTTAAGATTCGCAAAAAAATTTGAACAAACTTCCGACACTTTTAAAGATTTCGAGAGCATTGTGTGCATGTGTATGTATACGCGGATATGTAAACAAAGCAAATCAGGCGATATTTTGACATAAGCGCGCTCATAAGAAGAAGCATGGCTTCCATCGCTACCACCTGTAGTTAAAC